ATATATATGGGCATGGAGTTGAGGACGTGTCCTAGTTAGGACGACATTTGGTGGGCGGGATGCCGTCTAGTAGTCTCTGGTTTTGATTGAGCTGCTCGGTTGCACATGGGCAGGTCTGGTTGAGGAATGACTAATGTGTCACATAAACAATGGTAGCAATTGTATACATCCAGGTTCCAGTTACATGGCCACTTTGAGTAGGCGTTATGTGTGCTTGTCGCAGTCAAAGTGCAGTTTCGTGTCGGAGATTGGTGCAAGATGTGACTACTTAGTAAACTTAACATATGCCTGGCAAACTATTCCTGCTGTCAGCGAGTGCATCTCAGCGTTCATAACTCAATCAAGCTCCATCATAGGCCAATGGACAAGCCCATATAAAAGCATAAACAACTTTGATAACCCCAGGGCATTTGGCTGAGCCCACGCCTAGTTGGGGTTCATAAACTGCCAATATAAATGTTTAATTTAATTATAGTTGTGCCATCAAAGATGTTTAATTGTGCTTGCGAGACAGGTCAGTGCCCAACAGGACCCACCGCGCATCCCAATCGAGAGCTAGAGCTGCAGCCGCATAAAAGACAAAACATTGAAATCCAATTAAATGGGGGGGTCATTAAAGTGCCAGCATGATGTTGCCTCAAATTCGTTTTTAATTGCTTATTTCATAAAAGAGAGAAAGATGACCCGTCGCAGTGCAGGCAACAGGTACAATAACTAGACAGAGGTGCATATTATCATATTAACGCGTCTCTAACCCAAAAGCTTCAGTTCGAGCATCCCGTGACCATTAATCGGAGCCCACACTTTTTTGTGTCAATGCAGTAAACAAACAACAACGGAAAATGAACCCATCCCCCCTTCCTTAAAAAGAGAATCAACCGAATTTTTGATTGATGTCCTTGGCAGTGAAACGCTCGCCTAAACGGCTGCAATAAAAAATTTACCACGTTTGGGCCACAGCGGGCGGTACGTTGGCGCCAGTGATATATTTCACCCTTTTCTGATATGACGTCGGGGCACTGGGCACTGGGAACTCGGCTTGTGGCCAGCGGGAACAGCGCAGAACCTGCCTGAGAATCTCTGAAGCCGAGACGGAGGCGACATTCGCTGCACTCCGATCGCAGCCAGAGACAAGCAAACGGATTGGAACAGACTATAAAAAGGTGGAAATGTTAAAATTTAATTATGGGTTCAGTTTTGGACTCTGAGCGTGACCACATGCATATATACATACATACATACATACATACATATATATATATAGATGTATATGTATATACAAATATCAATGCAATAAAACACTGTCTTCGAGTGTAGAAAAGTCAACAAAAATTTGTTTTTAATTTACAATTTAATATGCGTTATAAAAAATTGGGCTCAATGACGAGTTATAAATATTTATGAAGGCTGCGCCAGAAAGGCAACCCAAGGAACACCATCTCAGATGTGGCTCTGCTGGAATCGGCGAATGCGCTACAGGATCTACATTGATCAGATCTACATTGATCAGAGACCTGATTCACGAGCCGAAATGCAATGTAGAAAGTAGGTTCGATCCCTAAACCGAAAAAACTACCCTTTTTTGGGAGTTACAGGCCCGGTTGATAATAACTGAATAATTGTAAGTGAATAATTGAATAAAATAATTGGTAAATTTTAGCCAGTGCAGTCGAAACAATTCAATGTCTCGCCCGCAACTGGCAATAATAAGAAGAATCTTGTCTTGAACAAGTTACTTTGTTTTATCTGCGAATGTGCTTCGAAAGTTTGTAGATAATAACAGTTCAAACTCTCAGAAATGTAGTATTCATTCGCCTTCGTTTCAAAATTGTTGCTATAACGCGAATGCCCCACTCGAAGAATTCTCACATACAATTCAAGCGGACACACTCCAAATTATTTGTCAACGGCAACTAGCTGCGTTTTCGTGGCGACTCGTTTCAAATACAAATGCCACACACACATCATGGGGCGATCCTAACTCGCCAAATTGCTGGCCGCATAAATTGCCAAACTTGGTGCAGTTGGTGCCGCCAGGTCCATGTGGATGCGGCTCCTCGTTGACTGTTTTGACATTTAGAGGCGTTCGTTGTCGCCGTGTTGGGGGCCGGGACAAAACGCAACTGAGACTGCGACTGCGGCTCATTATTTATTATGAATTCTATAAATATTAATGGATTTTTAAATGCAATTATAACAACTAATTAATAATGTGCATTTTAAATCGTCCCCAGCGAGCGGACACCGTCTGCGCCACCGTCTCCATTGGAGCATTTGACGTATTACCTGACGTATTTATTGCATGTTTTCTCGCTTCGACTTTGGTAGTTTGCGTTACCCTTGCCAAGGGTAATACAATTAGTTCACGACGTGTGTAACAATCTAAAGACGATAGCTATAACATCTGCAGGAAAAGGAACTGAGTTTATATAGCCAAATACAAAATAAATAAAATATATTGTAAAAAATTGGAATAGAACGTTGAACAACTGCTTTGTGTTTGCGTTTGCAGGGTATCTAGTCTTCGAATTGAATGTTCTCGCATGTTTTTTATTCGTTGGCTGCTGTTATGAAATGGGCAACGAGCCAAATGGAGGTGCGCGAAAAAATTAAACGAGAATGTCTGACAGAATTTATTTTAATTAGTGCGATGCAGTTGCGAGTGGCATGCCAAATGAGTGAGTGCCCCAACTGGGGCTGGACATTTGAGATCGGCTCATGGTCGAGCTGGACTGCCATGCAAAACGAGCAGCGAATGGCCAATGGCAATCGTTGATCAATGACAAACCCAACCGAATCGCAGCCACCCTGCCCTGACACAAAGATCACAGACTGCAAAGCCGACCAAATGTTGTAGCAGGAAGAGACAGAGGCAATTGCCATTTGTTGCCCGAGAACGCGATCGCGTTTGCTATTGAGATCGGGATCAAGATCTCGTATCGATTACATAGATCGACTTCTGTGCTCGGGTCAATTGCCGCTAGGCCAACGCAAAGAGAAGCCGCCGCCAGCGACGGGTCGCGGTGCGTCGCGTCGCGTCGCTTCGTTGTAATCGATATGGCGAAACGCTTGCAATCGATACCAGAACCGGGAGAATGTATCTTAAGTAGCAATGTAATGTGTCCAGATGCCGAGCTGCTGATAACAGCGCCCCGGTGGCGACGTCTAGATGATCACAGCGATCAGTAGCCTCTCCTGGGCCTTGGCCTGGGCACTTGTGGGCGCCTAACAGATACTTATTGATTACCGATCTTGTGACAGGCGTCCGCTGTGGACCCAGCCAGGGGTAGCCAGCTAAAGTGGAGCCTCACAACGTGAGAAATATAAATATGCAAAGAATCAGACAGAGCTAGCGCGGAGGGGCAAAGGTTGCAGCAATCAATCCAACGATGCGAGCGATCGAAACAAACATCTTAACAAATTATTGTGCCCGGACTGGGTCGAGCTCTCGTCGTTAAGTATCTCAACTAGTAGCCGCTAGGCAGCCACGAGAAGTGATCATCTCAACGACAGTCCATCGATCATTCAAACTCCAGCCTCGAACCCATGCTGGTGTGGCTTCTTTCTTTCTTTTGCTTTTCCTTGGTTTTTTTTGGCTAAGTTCTTTTTTGGTTTTTTAGCGTGGTAGAAAGCGTGTTGGAAAATTAAATCATCGTCGTGGTCTGGTCCGTCTGGGCTGTTGTTTTCATTTTCTTTTTGTCTTTCGTTGCCCTAATGATGCCCAACGCACCTTTGCTTAGTATTTACCCAAAGATCTCTATCAGCGAGTTAACTCGTTTAGCATTTAGTTGCAGGCGCCTAAGATACTTAGTCTGGAACTGGGAATGGAACGGGGACGGGTGACTTATCGGATAGTTTGCATCTTTATGCATGTTTTTCTCAGGATTCGGGGCACGACGGCAACGCCTCGCAATGTTGCTTATTAGGCGCAGACAGTGTCGTTTATATCATTTATATTATTTTATGATGCCCATTTCTGTAGATCTATCTTTATGTTTTCATAAATTATGTGTAACTTGTTGTCTCTTCTGATTCCCGTACAAGCTGCCCGTGCAGGTGACAATCTCCAGCCTGAGCCTAACTCGGTGTATGGGTTAATTAGGGTTATCCATGATTTATTGATTTGTTGTGCCCTTAGGGGCAGCATAAAATGCAACCTGTCTGCCCATTGATCATGGCTCTAATAACCACAATGTTGATGGTCTTTTAATAAACGCATTTGGCTCGTCATTTTGTCTCAGCTATTTTATATATATTTTAATTAGCCCAGCCCTCTTGGCGTGACCTGTCCACGACCCATGTGGGCCGTTGCCCGCAGCTGCCGAGCTTCTCTGATTGCCTTGGCCCAACTCCTAGTCCCTACTCAGCTGCCAGTTGCCTAACGGTAGCTGCATCAAATCTCTTATCAACGGCAAACACATGTCTTCGAGCTGCTCTGCTGGCTACTGTGCCGCGCTGTCCGGGACAGATGCACAGTCGGCAGATAGCGGCGCACAAAGGCGCTGCCCAGGACATGCCCAGGACCTGTTGGGCTGGCGCCAAGCGCTGCTTGAGAGTGCCCGAGGCCAGCCACTTGTCGCGTCGCGCGACGAAGAACAATACAAAATTATTACTTCAATTGGCAAGCACTTTGGCCGCGTTCTCGTTCTCGTCCTTGTCAGGTACATCTTAAGTTGCTGGCCCACGGATCAGTTCACACCATGGCAATAGACTCTCGTTCTCGTTCAGTTCGCATTGTGGGCGGTGCCGCTGTCGCGTCAGCGATCCTGCCCGCATTGCACCGTTTAGTGACGCAATTACACCTGACCCAACTGGGTTATCTTTCCATCTGTGACTAGCATCAGCCATAAAAGTGCCTGCAACACCCCAGCTGCTGTCCAGCATCCAGCATCTAGCATCCAGCGACTACTGTCTGGCCCTTTAGTTGCCCAATGTTCTTTGTCGGCCTGTGCTTCAGGCAGGCGTGAAGCGTTACAATTTCATATCTTTTGTTCGTCATCTTTTGTTTTTTTTTTTTGTCAAATAAAGTTTTGCTGCTATTTGTACAAATATTTTACGATGCACTGGCGCCCGACGTCACGTCACCAGTCTGGGATTGGGATAGGGCTCGGGCTTGGGAACTGGTTCACCGGAAATATGCCGTCTACAGCGACTAAATTTGCTAATGTGTCCAAATTGATATTTTGTGATTGCGCCAAGCGAAATTTGCACTGCGTTTAGCTGGAATCGTTTCTAGTCCGTTTGCAGTGAAGTCAAGCCCGAAATTATTTCTTGGCAATGAAATGTGATTTGGCCGTAGCGCTTGAAGAGAAGTGCAAATTGTATTCGGGCATTCCCAAGAAAGTGTCGCTGCCTTGAAATGGGGGATCTGGAGATGAGGAGGCTTGGGTGTATACAAAAATATCTAAATTTATATTTGCCATCAAGATCAGTGTCAAATCAAAGTTGTTTTGGCACAATCTGAACAAAGTATTTCCCATGTATGTACCTAATTGAGGTGGATATCTAAAGTAGTATTAATCGCATTACATCTGCTTAGACCATGAAATAGTCCTTCAATTTATGCTCTGTCTCGTTTGCTTTAAATTAAACTTGCCCTGAAAACGCAGATCCTTAGCCTGTATGTAATATTTTAATTATTTTACCTATGATCCGTAGGACAGTCAATAATTTTTACATTCATGCTGACTTCCTGTAGCCTACTTGTGCCTTGTGATTAGGTTTTCGGGAAATGCGAACCAACTGCGATTAGAAGCAATTTTCAGCGCTGACAAGCACTAATCAATAGTTGAGAACCTGAGACCAGACCCAAAATGTATATATTTTACGGGCAGCTATGCTCAGCAATCTGGCAAATAAACAGCAACTGGCTGTATATGGCAGTGGAATTTCGAAACTCTGAAACGGGCAATTAACAAAACCAACAAAATTTATGTTTCACCTGTCTGCATAAAATACATAAATACAAAATGCCAGACAATGCCAGCAAGAGCCAAAATGGTGGCTAATTACACGCCACGAAAAACGGCGAATGCCCAAAAGACACAGATCCAGTCCCAGTCCCAGTCCAGACCCTCACGATCAAATCGACGGAAGCCAAAGTCGCGGGGCAGCAGCAATGAAAATAGCAACGGGCATTTTTCCAGCCGTCTGTTGCCGATGCCGTTGCAGACAGGCGCGCCGTGGAAAATCTCACTTCTGAATTACAAAGCATGCCACATTGAAGTCTGACTGACAGTGCACCAGAGCGGGACAGAGGCAGAGGGAGCGGCAGAGGGAGAGGGAGCGGAGTCAGTGGCGCAGAAAAACACTGCGGCTGATGAAAATCAACAGTGCTAAGCGTTAACTTCGCCACTAGCTGCCCAGCACGGTCCAAGTCTCTTGCTGCCTCTGTTTCTCGCCCCTCGCATTTTCACACAAAATGGCGTACGATCGTCGCCAGAGCGAGTGCGCCATAGTCGCCGTCGACGTCGTCGTCGCCGTCGGCGTAGGCGGCTGCATGTCGACCAATCAGCTTGCGCCGTCGCTCGAACTGGTTTGGCAGGTAGCCGGTTGAGGGCTCTGCTCTGGAACTGGAACCGGCTACGACGCGCGCGCAGCTAAGCGTCTGGCTCGTTCAGCCCAAGATCAGTTGGTTGCGAAACGTCGTGCGTGCCAGAACCTCGAGCGTAGCGCAGTAATAACATAAACAGTTGCCAAGTGAAGTGAAGAATACAAGTGTTGCGAGAACCTACTTTTTGAGACTTACCCAAAACTGAACTTTTGCACAATGTTGTCCATGCACGATTTAATGGATATGCGCATGCAGCAGCAATTGGCCCATGAGCTGTACCGTCAACAGATCATGCAACGCATACCAGGTGAGTTGCCCTTAGATAAGCAGAGGAGTGCTCCAAGTGCCGACGGCAAAGATAAACTAGAAAATATTAAAGTTTGGGGTTATACATTTGAGTATATATGTGAGCTATACGATCTGCGTTAGAAGAGCTGGCTAAGTGACCCGGGTAACTGGGGTAACTTAACAATGAGGATTCGGGCTTGAATTCCTAGTGTACAATAGAATTAGGTGGATAGCTTGTGACTATCTAAATTCTATACTATGATAATAAAGTGTCTCCATTATTTGTGAGTTATTTTTCAATTTGTGGTCTGATAAATCTAAGATCTAGCTTTTTAAAAATTGTTTACCTAGACAATATATCAATTGAGGTCGGGACATGAAGATTGCTTAAAGAGTTGCCTCACATAATTAAACTGTCTTGGTCGGGCTCTGGAGAAGTTGCAATTTCGGTTCATTCATAATTTAGTAGCTGAATAAATTGTAAGCCCATGCCAGCTCGAAACAGGTCGACACAGCGAGCTAACGAACTAGCCAAACAACTTCTAAGCAACTCGCTCATAGCATCTACTTCTAACCCACAGATCCCTTTCCGGCGATGCTGCCCCTGCATTTGGCTCAGCCGCAGCCGCAAATTATGATGCCCAGCCGGCCGATGTTGCCGGGCGTGGAGGCCAAATTGGAGAACAACGAATTGTGGCAGCAGTTCCATCAGATTGGAACCGAAATGATCATCACCAAAAGCGGCAGGTAAGTTTCCCAAGAACTGTGCCACGCATCCTATGCAAATAGCGACGTGTATTCCTACAACTTGAAGAGTCAAGTGCACTGTGGTCGGCAGCGGCGGGGCCTATGTCAATATTTGCCATGACCCGGCTCTCAAAACCGTGGCCTAATGTGGCGCCTAGCGATAATTCAAAACGCAGCAGGAGCGCACTCGCTGCCCGAGCACACGGGCTCACGGGCTCACGGGCACACGGACAACAGTGACAACAACAAGTGCGGCCGCAACCGCCGTCCTGGCGCCGGCGCGCTCATAAAAATCTCTGCGCCAGCGACAACGGCGCATTGTGCCGCTTTGACAATGCTGCCGAAGACGTAGAAGCTGCAGACCCAGTCTGAAATTCTGTCCGCAGTTCTCTACCTGCGTTTTCACACGTTCGCCTACAATGGGCCGCTTTGTTGCCCCTCGACTGTCTTATGCATATTTTCTGATAGCTGAATTTTGAGCCCGAAAGCGACTACCGAGCGGCAGCGGCAGCGACTGCCCGCTGGAAATTAACATAATTATGAGTTGGCCAGTTGCTGCAGTGTGTCCACTTTCTCGGCTCATTAGCCATGCATTGAGTGCTCGTATCGCCACATTTGGAAGCCGTTAAGCTGAATGCCCGACAGATCTTGTCTAATTGTTTGGCGCCATGCGCTGCGCTCCCTGCGCTGCAATTAATCATATGAAACGCGAGTGCATTGTTTTGAGTCTGTGTACGTCAGGTATATGGATTTCCAGATTTGTTTTCGGTATGTTTTAAATCGATGCAACGCCATCGCGATCCCCCCGCTGTTCATAATTACACACTTGTTAGGCCGGGCCACAAATCAAAATGCCAGGGCAACGCCTTTTTTGCGCTTAGAAAGAGACCTTGATTTATAGGTGCACATGGATATATGGATCCATGTGCCCATTGTGCCTTTGTACATGTATTTGTGTGCTCACTTAATCAACATCTATTCTTGTGGCTCTCTTGCAGACGCATGTTTCCCTCGATGCGCGTTTCCCTGAGCGGCCTGGAGGAGGAGGCCAGCTACTGCGTCCTGCTGGAAATGGTGCCCATTGGCGACTGCCGCTACAAGTTCTCCGGCTCACAGTGGGTGCCAGCTGGCGGTGCCGAGCCGCAGAGTCCACAGCGCATGTATCTGCATCCGGATAGCCCGGCAACGGGCGCCCACTGGCAATCGCAGGCGCTGCTCTTCAACAAGGTCAAGCTGACGAACAACACACTCGACAGCAGCGGACATGTAAGTGATGTTTGCTCTTGACACCATTCCGCAGTAACTCATGAAATCCATCTCTCCATCAACAGATTGTGCTGGCCAGCATGCACAAGTACCAGCCGCGTCTCCATATCATCCGCAGCAGCGAGCTCACCCAGCTACCCTGGGCGCCGCAGCAGGCGTTTGTCTTTCCGGAAACGGAGTTTGTCGCCGTAACTGCCTATCAGGTGGGTAACTTGCGAGACTCTCGCTCTCTTTGTCCCTCCCAGCTTCAGCATCCCATTGAAGCTGGCCAGCATATAAAGGCGCCACGGGGGGTCAGCGGCCAGTTGTCGCCCGCATGCGCAAAAACCACTTGAGCGTCTGTGTCAGACAGACAGACAGATTTACAGATCGTGAACTGTCGCTGATTGCCAGCTCTATTGACACAATGCTCAAGTGCTTGCCGGCGGCTACGACTATGGCAACGGCTACTCGCTGACGCCAGGCAGCTCGGATTACAGCAGTCGACTAACCAAAAGTCTGTTTACTTCTTGTTTTTTGCAGAACGATCGTATTACAAAGCTGAAGATTGACAACAATCCATTTGCCAAGGGCTTCCGCGAGACCGGACAGTCGCGCTGCAAGCGCAAGCTGAACAGCAGCTCCAACTCGAATGCCGATTCCGAAGATGATGGCTCCAGCGTGAGCAGCTGCGATTCACCACAAGCCAAGCGCCAGCGTACCGACTTTGAGCAGGACTCGCAGCGCAGTCTATCGCCGGCATACTATGCGGCCGCCGCGAGCACAGCCCATCCGTACCGTCATGCGCTTGGTTACGCGCCCGGCGCAGCCTTCTTGCAAGCGGCTTACTTTGCTGCAGTGCCTCCGATGGCTGCCTTGCCTGCTAGTTTACCAGCGGCTGCTCCGGCGGAGCCAGCGGCAGCAGCAGCAGCAACAGTGTCAACTTCATCCACATCAGCTGCAGCATCTGCTCCCAGCTCACCAAAAAGTTCACCGCCAACGACGACTTCTACGAAACGCAACAGTTTCAGCATCTCGGCTATTTTGGCCTATTAATCGCAGCTTTTCTGGTTGTCGTCCACTTCGAAGCTTTTGTTGTGATCACGGTGTGCAGTATATAATCTTTAAGTTGTAATTTGTTAATTAATTTTAAGCGCAGCTTTCGAATAAAGCAAACTTTTACAATCAATTCATGACTTATCGATTCTTATCGCATCTATCGAAAAATTGTGATCGATAGTTTTGCAGCAAATATCGAGGCTATACTCACGCAAGTCGAAACGTGTGCAGGCCCCACAACCTTCGGAGCTTCCGTTTTTACAGGTTTTGCAAGTTGAAGCAACTTTGGCGGGCCCAAAGCAAATTAATGTGCTCCATCAGCGCCCGTCTAGAGGCAAAGAGAACGAAGAGAACGTTCGTTGGAGCTGGCCTAAAACGAACTCCGGTAGTAGTTAAAACAATTCTCGCAGATAAGGCATCCATTATGAGCAGCGATTTGACGGCTTTGAAGGCGTTTGGTCTTTGCCGACCAACGTCGACTCCGTCCATCGATGACGCAGCAGCGCAGCCACGCTGAAACGTAGAAACGCAGAAGCGGCTGCTGTGCATCTCGCTGGCATGTGGCTCGTGAAATTTTCGTTTTTATCGCACCTTTTATGGCCGTTAGCGGATCGGATCGGGTCGGGTCGAGTGGTGTGGCCATTTGCCGTGCATTATTATCGCGTCAAATGCGACAAATCTGTCTGTGCGCCGGCGGCTGCCTTTCTGGCCTGCATAATTGGCTCGATAAGCCGGCGGGCGACATTCACGACGCATGCGTGCGGTCCAAACGGCAAACGGTGGCGCCAAGCGTTTCCAGCTTAATAACTTTAATTAAGTTTTTAGGTGCGCGGCTCAGCTAGAAATTCTAGCTTGATTATGGAAAAGTTCAAGCAGCTAGCCTCCTTTCAAAATAACCATTAAAATCAAAATCAGCTCGTTTCTTTGGCTTCTTTGGCTGTTAATTTCATTCATAGAAATCTTTGCATATCTAATGCATAAGTTAAGACAGCGCGACAAATAATTCACTGGCTACACAAAGTTGGGACATTATTGTTTTAGAGCGGCTTTAACTAATTTTTGGGCTTATTGGCATTTGGTTTTTGTCCCCTCATTTCAGTTTTTGTCACATAAATTTTGCTTTTTAAATTTTGAAACAATTAAATTATGGGATTTGCACGTTTTCACCCCACACAAAAAAAAAAAAAAAAAAAACAGTGTGTGGCTCTTGTCGGCGTCTGCGCTTTGGAAGTGTTTTTTAAACGCTGCGCCTTAATTTGTTGGACTTATAAATATATGTACATATTGATGTTGCTGTTTTCTTGTTAAAAACAGTGGCAAAATGCGTCAAAATTCGTAGATTATGCGATAAAAATGCAAATCGTTCGTTCACGTTTCTAATTTGTGCTTGTTTTAATATACTTAATGAATTTTTATGCGTAGGCAGCTCTCCCGATCCGGTTTTTGCGGTCAAAGCTGTTGTTATTGATAATTTCGATAATGATGTTTTATTGTTTTTGTAAAGGTGTCGCCGTTCATACGTGTTTGGGATTTTATGTGTGTGCCGTTTGCTTTTTTTTTTATTACTAAATATAATATGTGCATATGATTTGGCCATAAAAGTGGCTTTACGATCCAAAAAAAAACAAGAAACGAGCGAGATATTTAATTAAATTTAAGATTAGGCGCAAACTGGCTATCGGAATTTGAATTTTAGCAGAGACTATAGCTGGTTTGAGTCTTCGCTACAGCGTCGATAGTATCGCATACAATAAAATATTGCATGCATAAATAACTCACAAGATGGCGCCACTGCACGCTAACAGCTAATTTGAAGAGAATAAAACAAAAATAGTACGAATATAGGGATTTCAATGCTTTTAAACAAACCTTAATTAATTTATTTAAAATGCAGGTAATCATTGCGCTGGCGTTATTATGCTGACAATTTAGCTAGCTCCTCTTGCAGCTCGGACGTATCAATTGGCACTTTCGGTTGCTCCTTAGCTCCGGCCAAGACGGCTGCCAATAGACGGGGACAACTCTTCTTATGCATAAACCAGTGCAGACGCTGGCACTCGCGATCGCAGTACTGCACCGCCTTGCATTTGGAGCACTTTTTGTCGGGCTTCTCCTGGCCACAGGAACTGCAGTAGCTGCTCTCGTCCTGCAAAATGCAAAAGGATACTTAACTGTCACAATTTATATTTATTGATTTGATACTCACCACAAAACCGCGCATCCCGTTGATGGCATTGCGTAGTATAACCAGAGCTGGCGGCGCATCCTTGGCACCCAGCTGGGCGGCTATTTGGCGGAAAATCGTGCACTCGCGGAAGGGGAACTCTCGAGCGCATTCACGCACCGTAAATTCAACATAGTCCAGCTGCCCCAGCTTGTTCTCTTTGAGCACGCGCTTAACAAACACTTCGATAAAGTCATTTTTGTTGGCCCCGCCGTCTTCGGCCTTTTCCTTGTGCTGTGCCTTGAACTGCTCCTCGCAGCGCATTAGCTCGCCAACAATCCAACCCAAATAATGGAATTTAAATGCGAGCAGTTCGTTTGCGTCGTGCGACTTTTGCATCTCCTTCTCGCACATCAGCACCAAAGCTTTCCGCAGATTGGGCAGAATCCTCAGCAGACCCAGCGACTGTGCATTCAGCGTTATTCTGACAGGATGCAGATTGATTTCGGTGACAAAGGTGTGAAACGCCTTTAGCAGCACGGGCGGAATGTGCGGCTCCGTCTGCTGGCCATGCAGCTGTGTGTAATACTCCAAGCTGGAACGCGTCACGTAATTGTTGATGGTCTCCACGCAGGCGTGATTGCCCACAAAGGCGGCCATTTGGGAGGCAGTGCGAGAGACGCTGTTTATACTATTCGGATTGATGCCAGCATCCAGCAGTTGCCGGCACACGTGCGTGTTGCCCGACAAGGCGGCAAAGTGCAACGGCGTGTAGTCGGCCCCGTGTTGATTAAGATTGATATCAGCTCCCTGTTCAGTAAGTTATTAAATCTTAGTTATTGCATTACGCACATTATTTGCATGCTCACCATGTCCAATAGCAGTTGCACCGCCTCCTTGTTGCCCTTAAAGCTGGCGTGTGCCAATATTGACATTCCGCTGTCGTCCACAAAGTTAACGCCGCCCTTTAGCTGACCCAGCAGCTGCTTGAAACCGTTGGTGTCATTCTTGGACAAACGTTCGATCAGCATAAGCTGCACTTCATCTAGTTGGGACTTTTTGCCGTCCTCGCTCATAGTTTTTTTTTTTGTCAGTAAAATGGAAAACGAAAAGTGTGTGCCAGTGTGTACACACCCTAAAAAAAAGCATCACATTTTCGTTTCTAGAGTTTTCAACACTGAACCGATAACAGAACATTAGCAGGCTCGGGCGGTGTTCTAAGTTAGAGCTGCAAAAATAGAGCGCGCAAAATTCAACTAGCTAATCATATTTGTCAAAATATATTTGTCAATATACACCTACTTATTAGTAGTTAAGTTACGAGTTGACTTACAATTGTATATATTCGTATAAGTTTGCAGTTCGTGTGATCACCATACCATATTTAAAGTCAAACATTCATTTTGACGATATGGTCTGCCAGTTTTCTGAACTCCAAAATTAGTACGTTTTTAGCTGCCGTCGAGAGTGGTGGTTGCGTTTGTGTTGCGGCGTGTTTTTGGTGTGTTTGTTATATTTTTTAAACATAAGTCTTGTGTAAATGCCAGCAATGTTAAAAGCACAAATGCAGAAACGCGATCATTAAACGAATTTAATAAAGAGCGGCTCCTACGATACGCGAGTTCACGAAAAAGTTCTGCGAAAAAGGTGATAAGCGCGCAATTGCCCCTGCCTGTATGTTTTTCCTTTTTTTTTGTATTCGACGAATTTCTTGTTTTTGCTGAAATTCCAATGCAGGAATAATCCACGAATCCACCCTAAAACAGCCATCGAGAAATAATAAAACTGTGCATATAACAAAACAGATAAGCGCGCAAAATAGCAACAGCTGCAGTTGGAAGTACATGACTTGAAGATACCCAGTATTTTGAATTAATATAAAGTGTGCTTTGTAAACTAATTAGCGCACTGTGGCTAGATATTGATCAATATGCATATGTATATTGAAAGTCACTATATGTTAGCTGTCTTATAATCGACTAGCATATAATTAATTTATCGACTGCTCTTTGTAGCAGCTACCCCTTTGTTCATTTGCGGCAGGGTATTTAAAAGAGAAGTGACAGCCAGATAAGGCGACGCAGATAAACAAAGCCACAGAGTGTCGACGGTAATACACATACACAGCTCAACAAATTATTAATAAAAGAAACTCGCGCAAAGTCTTGTCCGTTTGTTCGCTATTAACTTAAACGAGTGAACAAGGGGTGGTGTATGCGACTGCCTAAAATGTTTACATGTGGCTGCGTGGCGAGGAAAATTGCCTTTTTCCCCACTTGGTGTGAACATTGGCCTTGCGGTGATTGCATGTGTGTGCGTGTGTGTGTGTGTGCGCGGCTTGTTGTTTACTAATTTCGATAAGTTTTAGTTTCGCATCATTTCCTGCGCACAAGCAGCTCTCAAAAGAGCAAACACATGCACGCACACACACACATGCATAGCAAGACACATGGCAAACAGCCTCAGTCCATATCCACCCCCCGCGTTGCAAGTGTCGCCGCTGATGCCTTGCTGGAGTTCAACATATTCACGTTACGAGCCGTTGTTTGTGCTGTCCTATCTATATTTCTGTTGAAAAAAAACTGTTCACTCTGTCCACTCTGTGTATGTAATCCTAGCAGCTGTTGCCGCCATAATTTATAAACCCTTAACAGGCCGCACCAACAACAGGTGCAGCGCTTCAGCAATGCAGCAGCAGCAGCAGCTGTTAATGCTTAATGCTTAATGAATCCCCTTTCTCCTTTCTGTTGCAGAGTGAAGAAGTGTACGTAAGAGTGAAACGCAACCAAAAGTGCTACAAAAAAATCAATACAAATATAAACACAACAAATAAAGTCAAACATATTTAATAAGCCGCATTTGTAATAAATTAATTAAGAAAATGGGCAAACTGCTGAGTCTTTTGTCACGCGACGATTCAAATTGTTGCGCCGCCAAATCCTACGACGTTTTCCTAGACTTTGAGAACGCCGCGCCCACGGATACGGAGCGGGAAGTGTACGATGAAGTTGAGCGCGTGCTCAAGGAATCGGAAGTCGTTTTAGAGGAGATACAAATCTATAAGGTGAGTGCGTCACCAACCCGTTTCAGGGTAAAGTCCCCGCGGAGATATCGAACCGGTTGGGGTAGTAAGTAGCTAATGATTAACTAGAATTGGCGAACTAATTGGCGCTCTTTCGCCCAAGAACCGTATAAATATTTAGTTGCGCTCTTGTTGTCCCCTTCAACTGATAAGTCGAAGCGAGTACGCAATAATCAAATGACAATGTGCGAAATATAACGGGGGGCAGGCAACAAATTGAGCATTTAACCTTTGCTAGCAGCGTCAACAGTTATGTGATCCCTCTCTGTCTCTCTCTGTCACTCTCTCTACAAACTCTCTGCTCTTTGCGCTCACGATTATTTACTTGCGACTGACTAGTGTTGCCAGTGTTCCCGACAATTTTTGGGATATTTTTGTTTTGAAAATGTGTTTACTTAATCGCCGTACTATTTTAATATTAAGATATAGTTATACAAACTTTGGCCTTTGGCCGAGGCAATACACGTGCATATACTAGGCATGGGTTCGAAGCAGGATCCTCATGGTTCAGTTCCCTAAATGACTGGGTCACTACTTTATTTCTCTCTACTTTGCTTGCCAAGAGTTGGCCACACTTCTGCTGGCTGACTCACGTGGTGCTTGATCGGCGTCAAATCGACTTTCTTCATATCGTTGTTATGCTTGTGACGTCAGTAACTAAGTAACATTCGGCGCGATGTTCTTGCAGTTCTCTCTTCACACGTTTTCTTTGGTGGGATTAGTCATGTCTTGTTTTGAAGTCTAGCGTTTATGTAATTCTCGTTGTTGTCGCTGACCTTTGCTTAACTCGAATTCGAATTCGAACTCGAGCTCGATTTTGGTGTCGTGGTGCGAATTATTAATTGGCTTTCGGGCCAAGCCAAATGAAATTTCTGCCCAGAGCGTTAATCAACGTAAATGAACTGGAAAATGTCAACCAAATGAGCTCATTTCCTTTGTAAGAAGCGTGTGTGTGTATGTGTGTGTGTGCCTGTCACCCCACGGTAAAAGTGACCAACGGACAACAAAGACGACCTCGTAACCATTTCAAGCCTTTGAAAGCTCTCAGCACACCCCACTCGCCCCTGGGGACTACTTGAAACGCGCTCAATTCTTTTTTGGTGCACATTTATTTTCATTGCAATCTTTAGTGGAAGCATTCGCGACTTTTTGCTCCCGCCGACTGTGGGTGAGTGAGTGGCTTGGGTGGTGGACTGGTTACGGAGGCACTAAACTGGTTGTGTACGCTGTGTATACAAGCCCACAATCCCCCTCTGTGATTCCTGACACACAAATCTTTGGCCTGGTGCAAAATGAAGCAAAATAAAAATGGAAAAACTTCACGTTTTGCAGCTATAAATAAAGTGAAAACTGCAGCTAGTTAAAAGAAAGAAAATCATAAAAGAAGAAAAACGTTTAACTTGGTGGTGCTGCAGATAAAATACTTCTGGAGACATATATAATGTTATGGCCATGTGGAATGGCAATACATTTGACAAATGACAATATAATGTTTTGATCATGAAGCTTCTTCAAGACACAATTATAATACCTTCTATTCCTTGTTGTATATAATTTTGTTATTTTCATTTCCAACTTGATAAGCGGGAAAGCATTTAAAGTTTTCAGCACTGCTGTAAAAACCGCCTTTCCATTAAGTAAGTGGATCTATCATAGTGCACATTATCCGATTGTCAACCAGCTTTTGTGGCCGAAAACAGGCAAACTAAATCAACAAATGTGCCTTTTGTGTATAATAAACAAATGCAACAACAGCAGCAAAGAGCAACGAGCGGCTGTCAATAAAGGCCTACAAAAACAACAATAACAATAACAACAACCTTAACTGAAAGGCAAGCTCATTGAAAGCGATGTCAACGACAATAACAATATTAACAACAACAATGATAACGACAACAACAACATGCACAATAACCACACCATCAACAACGCACACCTCTAACAATAAATAATAATCATAAAAGTAATCTAACAGCTTGTAGAATATGAAACGAGAACGCGGCACAGATAACATTTGCTGAAAATGTATGCCAAAAGATGTGAAAAAAGCCATTCAAACCTGATGAACTAATTGCAATTAACACATGACTCGCTTTTAGTCTGCCCTTCAAATGTGGTTAATTGGTTAATGCAATACAGCCATTAAATGACGGCTTAAAATTATCATTACATATATGTACAGTATTTGTATGTATAGTGTTAGCGATTAAGTTTAAGGCCTGTCTGCCTATTTCCCCATTTTCTTAGCAGAGAGTGGATTCAGTCATTCAATCAGTCAATCAGGTAAAACAGTTTTATATACATATTTGCGCAGGGATTAGCTGAATAGGCAACCTTGGCACTGCACTCGATTGGCGCACAGTGTGAAGAGTTTGAAAATAAAATGTATGAAATGCTGCTGTGGTTACAATTGTTTTATAGCACTGGATAATGCCCATATGTATATAAATGTACATATGCATGCATAACGAGAGTTCAATGAGTTCAAACGCAAATTGAGTCATCAAATGCAAGCGAGCATTAAGAAATCATTTGCTTGGGCAATCGAATGCGAAGCTTGTGGCATGATGGAGTTGCTAAAACGGAAACAAAGAGAGTATTTCATTGTAATAATTATCATAGCACTTACGAAACGCTCGTGCATACTTACATTACATGCCTATGCAACGTATGAGACTGACTATTTAATAGATAATTCTGCTTGGCAGAGAGTATCTCTATTTGTGCTAGACCTTTTAATTAACTCAACAGAGTGGAGCTGAAAGTAAAAGGAATGAAACAAACATAAGAATACTTATAGAATACTTATTCCAGCAGGCTAAATCTCATATATCACCTGAAAAAATTGAACCTATCTGACCTCAGCGCATGCAGATTCTGTACAGGTCATCACAAGACATCAGAACCCGCTACAGAATTTGAATAAATATTGCTTGTCTTAATAATAATAATAACTATTCTCTATGATGATGATTTCAATAGTTGTATAAAATATATCCCATCCAATTCTCAATCATACTGCAAAGCTAAAAGATAATATAAATCATTTTGATTGTTATCAAATGCTCTGGCCTATATATAAACTATTCTATTCAAGCTTCGCTTTGGGATTATTTTCAGAGCTTGCGTTCTGTGCATTTAAAGTGATCCCTTATATCAAATGCTGCTCCACATATAATTGACAATACAGCCTCATATGCATATGAATAAACAAACACTTAAATGTTTAATGTCAGTTTTACAATGAAAGCGACAGGCGGCAGCAATAATCAGAATAATGGCAAAATGAGCAGTCATTAGAGACTGGCTGCCTAATCCCCAGACCCATAGCCATACCCAGACTCATACCCAGACCCATTCCTATTCACGTTGCCCGTTCCCAGTTCCTGTTGCCCCCGCTTAACCAGTTCCACGAAAATTTTAAATGATGTGCGGCCAATGCGAAAAAAAGCGTCGCGTCGCCGCACATCCGGCGAGGGGCAGTCAGTCAGTCAGTTAACCAGTTAGCCATTCAGCCAGTTGGTCAGTCTGTCAGTCTGTCAGTCTATCAGTCAGTCAGTCAAAATATAAGTAATTGCTATAATGTGCGTGCCCAACACGAGTGTTTGCATATTATAATAAATAATGTTCGTATGTGGAACCCTTTGTCCATGTCTAAGCCTCTCTAGAAATGGTGAGGCCATCCACGCTGTTGTCCACTATGTGACAATTCAATTTCCGTAGTTGCATTTCGCATTTCGAGTATTTCTCACAGCAGTTAAATGCAGTGCCCCTTCCCTCCCCGCCTCCCCCACCCCCCGCTGTTTGGCATTTGCATTTATTGCACAATCGTAAAATGTTTTTTTAGGTTCTCTAATTACTTTGGAGCTGGCCTTATTGAATATTTACCTGCCGACAATTTCACTTGGTAGACCAAATTAGCGACAAATTAAAGTACACATTCGTTTTATTAGTTACCCATTTTCACTTTCTACCTTAGATACCCACGACATATCCATATGTACAGACAGATAGGTGTGTATCTATCCGTACATATGAATATATATTTTCCTATTTGTATTTCCGACGTCATCGGCTGCACATTAATTGCGCAGAAGAGAAAAAGAAACACCAGATATATAAACCGTAAAGTAAACACAAATTTAAACAATTTACAAGCGCAATGCGAAATTCGGTTCATAATTTATTGTTTATTTTTATATTGTACCCTGTAGTAGATGCTCTCTTTAGAGATAGTGTGTACACAGAGATACAGAACCGAGAAAACAATTGTCGACGGTTCGGTTCAACGTGAGAATCAACCCTTAATTGATTCTGAATTTGGGATCTACTTAAAATTAAGATCTACCAAGATTTGAATACTAGGTAATAATTGGAGCCACAGTAATATTGCCTCCCTCAAATGAGTTTTTAAGCCAAAACATTTTCCAAAAAAATACTGTCAATTTCAAATCTTGATTCCGCTGGTTTGTGGGAACTGGTTTGATTTGAATTGCTCTACATATCAGATATTAAAATAGAATTCTGACTCAAATTCGGATCAAATATATACTAAGCTTATATTAAATTGTATTATGCAGACACAGTTTATAAACTAGTGACTAGTAGTCCTTTCTCGCAGAGATAATCTTGATGATAGTATTATTAGCTTTTCATCTAAGTTTTTAGTTCAGTTTAAACTGATTACGTGGTATTCATTAGCTGAGCAATAACCGACAGAAGACTTTAGTTTTTATCATCATGTTTTTCTGTAATTACATTTTGCGCTTCAGCCGCCCACTCGGGGAAGAGCAAGAAGAAGAGCACTTGAAACACTCGACCGCATAGCTGACGCTGATGCTGATGCCTCATTATGCTTTCCTCTCAGGTGGCAATTGAGGCGCAAGTTTTGCATAGAATCATTTGGCATCCGCCCCCACAGACGGCTGGCACAATATTTGCTGGATTGAAGCGGCACTGAAAGCGGCCTTTTGGTTAACCGA